CTATTCTGGTTTCCTGCAATGGCTCGTGATATGTGGGATTTTGATTTGGCTAGGTCTGTTTGTGCGGTTTCTAAGACTTTCAATCATTCTCCCTCAGGTCTTTCTTTTGGTTTTCACCCTTAGAGTAACGGTCAACCAGAGAGAGCCAATCAGGATCTTGAATGTATATTGCAATGTCTGGTATCTTAGAATCTCTTTTCTTGCAATCAGCATCTCTCATGGGTTGAGTACGCACATAACTCATTATCAGTGCCAGCTACAGGCCTTTCTCCATTTGAGTGTAGTTTAGGTTACCAGCAGCCTGTTTCTTCCAGTCTAGAATTTGAAGTCCGCAACCCAATCAACACAATCCCGCTGTAATGTGTAACCCTTTTGTTTTCAAGTCAAAATTCCACTTCTGGTAGGTCCCCACTTTCAGCAACTGTTGCCCTGCAAAACTATGAGTGGTTTCCAAAGAGGCTTGGGGGGATGGGGCAATATTAGGGAAGCAAAGGAATCCTGACACTCCTTCATCCACCTAAAGGACTTTTCCATCTTCAACAGGCAGAAAAGTGGGTCTGCAGTGCTGGCAAAACCCTTCAAAAACGTCCTGTAATATGAAGCTAAGCCAAGAAAACTTTTAAGCTGCTGTGCTGTTGTGGAAGCAGTCCAGTTGCTCACAGCCTGCACCTTCTCTTCCACTGTACCAATTCCCTGTCCCAATAATTTGTGTGCTAAAAATGTCACCTCCCTGCTAAAGAATTACATTTTTTCTGGGTACAGCTTAAAGCCAGACTTACTCACACAAACCAGCTCATGACATGACAACATAAACCAGTATGTCATCTAGGTACACCAGACACACAGACATTGGAATACCCAATGACACATTGTCAATAAACCTTGCAAGCGTGGCAGGTGCACTGCAGAGACCGAAACAGAGCACCCAAAACTGCCACAACCCTTGACTTGTGCCAAAAAGTAGTTTTAGGCCCTGCATCAGGTGCAATGGGTACCTGCCAATAGCCAGAACGAAAGTCCAAGGAAGTGAACCATGAGGACCCAACCACCAGGTCAAGTGACTCGTCAACATGTGGCATGGGGAAGAAGTCCTTTCCATTCACTTCATTAAGGTGTCTGTAGTCAACACAAAATCACCACTGACCACTGACACCGAACATGCCATTCTTCAAGTCTAACCAACAACCTGCACTCCTTAGGAAGTCTAGCTTGAGAATGCAGGGGTCCTGGACAGTAGCCACCCACACAGAATGTCATAATGTTATCCCTCCAACACTGAGCTCCACCTTCCCTTTACCTTTAATTGGTGCAAGTTCCCCTGTCACAGTGCGTAACTGAACAGTGGTGGGCTCCAGTCTGGCATTGGCCGGTACCAAATCTGGTCTCATGACTATCACAGTAGTCCTACGACTAAAATTGATACATGGCAAAAATCACTAACACTATCACTACCACTATCACTAACAGATGTTTGACCTACCACAACTAAAGACTCTTTTGGCCCATATTTCCCCTCCTCCAACAGAACATGTTTTCTGTTTGATTGTCCAACTCCTTTGACCCCTGATGGAAAAGTCTCGTGGTCGGGAGAAGAGTTGGGAGTTTGCATGTCCCCACTCAGGCAGTCCCATGCCGTTTCCCTGGTTCACCGGTAAATTAGGACACTTTCTGACTAAGGGCGTACTCACACTATGCTATCTGAACCGTGCTCAGGTCGTCAGATTTGAACGAATCTTCAAAAATGACTCGGGAACTACGAGTCCTCTCAGGGAGTGATTCGTTCATCCGCGCGTGCGCACATTTGTGCAGGTCTCGTCTCGTTAATTTCAAGTCTTCATCACATTGTCAGAAGCCAATCATATGCATTTAGAGCCGGAAAAAGAATTGATCCGCTCACCTCTTTAGTCCTCTATCGGGTCTGAGTCACTCGTTCATCACGAGCCAATCATATGCGTTTAGAGCTAAAAAAAAGTTTTGATCCGTTCATCTCTCGAGTCCTCTATCGGGTCTGAGTCATTCGTTCCTCATGGGCCAATCATACACGTTTAGAGCCGGGAACAAAATTGATCCGTTCATCTCTCGAGTCCTCTATCGGGTCTGAGTCACTCGTTTCTTACGGCCAAATCATACGTGTTTATAGCCGGAAAAAGAATTGAACCGTTCATCTCTCGAGACCTCGGGCATTCTCTCATGTGATGAACGAACGGTCATGGCTCCTATCAGCTTAGACTGTGCATTGATTAAGATTATATGTGACTGTCAGTGTAACGTGAATGAACCCCTGATATTTGAAGACATGAAGAGGTGAGCTGAGCAAAGAGACAACAATGCCTTCATAGACAAAAGAGCAGGTAAACAGTGGATTATTATTTTTGTTTATTATATTCTATTTTTGACTTATTTGTCGTGCAATCAACCTTTTGGGCTAGTTGTAGATGTGTTTGGAAGCAATTCATAACATTTTAATAATATTTTGTAACCAAATAATAAATTGAACCAAATGAACGAAATGACTCGAAAAAAGTTTGTTTATCTTGATGAACGAGACTCAAATATCAGAGTCAGTAAAATGATCCGAACTTCCCATCACTATCGGCTAGCCCTGGCTCGGTTGGAAGAGGTGGGCCTGAGCGCGGTTCACTTAAAGCTTTGGTGTGGTACGCTTGTAGTGTGAGCGTAAAACGTGCCAAAGCCCGAAACTGAAAGCGAGACGTGACTTTTAAGGGACTGTTTCATGTGGATTTATTTATCAATTTTACTGTTCAATGAACGCAAACTGCCATAGTTTATTAAATACACAAACCCCTCACTGCAAAACAGCTGCGTACCTTCAGCAAACCTTCTCATTCCTGCAGCACAAGGGCTTTATGATTTTTTATGAGAGCGAAAAGTGGCGGATCAGTTCTGCGAAATATCTGTCTGCGTGTCACCGCATCTCTAAGGACTGTTTGGCAAAATATCTGACTGCATGTCACTGCATATTATGCGACTTAAATGATATAACTAGAGAAATCTCCACTGTGCTGAGCGAGAACGCTTACTGAACAGTGCAGCATCGATGATGTAAGCGTGCCCAGACCAGATTGTAATGTGAGTGCAGGCCGTCGGGGTAGACGGGAGGGGGGACAAGCGTGCTTTGGCCCGGTTCGAGGCAACTGTACATAGTGTGAGTACAGCCTAAATTTCCAGTATGCCCACAACCCCAACAACCCTTAGTCTAGTGTAAGGGTGTTGCTCTGGTTGAAGTGCCACAGATCTAATTAACTCAGTTATCTCTGATACCTAGGCTGATCTTTCACTTAAGCTCTCCCCCACATCAGCAGACTTTGATGGAACACTATACTGTGATGACTCTTTTTCAATGTAAAGGTTCCACAAACAATCTCTTTCTCCAAAGCCATCTCCAAAGCATCCTATAGGGTTTGTGGGTGGCCAGTTGTGTCTGTCTGCGGAGCTCAAAAGTGGTAAGGGCTTGAACGAACTGGTCTCTTGCAAGCTCCCCCTGAACAAAGGGAGAAATGTGGGCATATGCACGTTGAGTCAGATTCTCTATGTCATTTGCCAGAACTCTCAGCTGCTCTACCGGAAGCCTGCATCTATTATTCAGTATTATTCAGAATGCAGGAGGATTGTCTGGTCAAATTGGCTAAATTAGAGTGCCGACAAGTGCATTATAGTGATGTCTGTGTTCAGGGCTAACAAGTAACAAGCAGGACAGGGCATCATCAGTAAGGCATATGGCCAATGAAATTGAAGCCAGCTATAGATATTGAACATAAAAAAGCTTCCCAATCAGCTTTGCCTGAAAATTTGGGTGTTTTAATAGTCACCTTAGCTGTAGCGTTGCAGCCACCACTGCATTAATTTTCTGTCAGCAGGCAGCTCAGATCCATGGGCACCGCCATGTTAATTTACATCTCCAGGCAGTGCAACTCTGTGGGCGCCATCATGTCTATTTTCCTTCGCACCCACTTTGGTTTTAAAAGTGGCGCGGCGTATGTTCACTTCAGCCGATAGCGCTAATCCATGGTGGCCGCCATGTTTGTTTTCATCAGCACCTCACATTGAAACATGGGGCACCATGTTTGTTGGTTTTCCTCGGGTCGGTTTAGTAACTCTTGGTGGCACTTGGCTCTGACAACGAAAGCCCGGTGTCTGGTGCGATCAATCTTCTGGCAGCCATCACACAAGCTTTGTGTGATTCTTATCAATATTTCTGTGTTACCACGTGCTCAAGAGGCCACCTTGATGTACCAAGAGCCTCACAAAACATTACCTTAGGTCTTTAGGCTCAGACTTGATTTTTTCAGGGTCTGCTTCCACATCATATTGATTGCATGATGAAAATACGGAAATATGATGCAGTAGTTCACTTCTGACACAGTGTAACAGACTGAAGAAGACCAGAAAACATTTAACAGTTCAGACTTGTCTTTTAATAAACTTTTGTACATTGCAGACTGATTAATCCTTTCTCGCCAAAAACAACTCTCACCATTAAAACACACCTGTCTCCTCTTATGGAACCCCCCATCCCCCACTCCTTGAGTATGCAGACTCCTTTTTTCCCCATAATCCAGCTTCTTAACGCCCACATTATACAGCATACACACCAAAATATAACACAGGAACTGTACTTTTCTGAACCTTTTCTAGCATGCTACAATAGCAAATACAGCTAGTGTCAACAGCAAAATCAAAAGTGTTTCCTTTGTTTGTGGAGTGAATTTCCATTGGTTCAAAAAATATATGTAAACTGTAAACTTTTTGCAACATTTTTAAATATAAGATGAATATAATATATTTTAGAAATGTGAAATTCTAACATAAACTTGTACGTCCTATGTGTAATTTAAAATACATCAGATTTCTTAATTGGTTAAAGTCTTCCGTATCTATATCTTTATATATATCTGCCATTTTAAAGGCCCTCCATCATCCACCTCTGCATTTGATCATGGCCTATCTGTAAGCTGAGCTGTACTGAGGGAGATGCTGGGGCCACCTGATCCCTACTTCTCAGAACTCCAGCGATCAGATGTCCCACTTTACTGGCAAGAGTCTGTGTCAGTCTCTAACTGACAGAGTAAAGACGACCAGAAGAGCCAAAATGACCAGATCAACACAAAGACAAAATATCAAGCTAATCAGATAGCATGGACCTGTTCTCTATTAGGTAAATTAGACATGGTTAACTTTTGTTTTATTCATGCGAATATTAATTAATCTGCGTAATTGTTGTATTCTTCTGCTATGTTCTTCCACAGAATAGCTAATCTGAAATCAACCGTAAGTGTTCGAGTCCTGCTGCTAATATGAGTGTATGAAGTAAGTCATGGCTGATCCAGAGGAACTGGAGTCTGTGGCAGGTGTAGATGTTGGGGCTGATGTAAATGGAGAATCTATTCCCTGTATAGAAAGCACACAAACAGATGGTCAGGTAAGACCAGAGAACAGTTGTTTATGTTTGCATACATTAATGAGGTTGAAAAATCACACTACTGGTCATATGCATTGAAAAAAATGTGTAGGGCTTTCGTTGAAACCATTTTCCACAAAAATACTTTAAAAAAAATGGCAATTATATCATTAGGCAAGTCCTTCTTGGTTATGTGCCTTTATGTGTATATGTTTTCTGTAAGAATTGTTTCACTTTTACACCTTGGATGTGTCTTTAGTACAGAAGTTTAACCAAGGGGAAGTAAAAACACAAATCAAACCGAGGATAACTCCACTGAATTGTGATTGCAGATTTTGTGTGTGTTTTATTATGTAGACCTGGCAACCCTGGGTTTTTGTTATTAATTTAAAATTACTATGAATTTGAACATAAGATGGTACGCTTTTCGACAACTGTGAAGTACATCCACTTGAAACAGCCCTAAAATTATAAAAGTTATACAATGATTTTCTTCTTTGGGAACTGACTGGATTGATGAAAGACACTAAAAAATAAAGGAAGATTGATAATTGGACGAATTCAGAACAGAAAGAGACATTCACTGAGAGCCCTGCCCTAAAGGAATTCCATGTGACAGGAAGGGAAGAAAGTTAGGAGGAAGGAAAGTTTACAGTATTTGATTTTAGGTTTATAAGGGCAAACAATATTTTACAAAATAATGGAGAACTACTATATACATATAAAATAAAAAAAAATAAAAAATGTTCATTTCATGTCAACTTTGCGTATTCTTACACAAAAATGATGTATACAAATTTTAACATTTCATCTTTTGCATTTTTGAAGTTATCTGTTATGCATTAAAGCAGTAACGAGGAAACTAAAAGCAATCATTCATTCATTTTCTTTTTGGCTTGATCTCTTTATTAATCTGGGGTCGCCACAGCAGAAAAAACTGCCAACTTATCCAGCATATGTTTTACTCAGCGCATGCCCTTTCAGCTGCAACCCATCCCAGCAAAACATCCATACACACTCATTCACTACGGACAATTTCAGCATACCCAATTCACCTATACCGCATGTTTTTGGACTTGTGGGGAAAACAGGAGGAAACCTACGTGAACACAGGGAGAACATGCAAACTCCACACAGAAACGCCAATTGACCCAGCTGAGGCTCAAACCAGCAACCTTCTTGCTGTGAGGTAACAGCACTACCTACTGCTCTACTGCGTCACCGAAACTAAAAACAATAAAGATAAAAATTCAAACATATTATTAGACATAACAGGTTAGTAGATTTGAAATAAATTAAAGTTAATCTACTAATTCCTGAATCTAAATCTGAAAATTATATTTTGTGACATTTTTTATATTTTCTGCTCCAGTTCAATATCTACATTAGCAGGATGATCAAGATGAAACCAGGGTGGACATTTCAGCAAGACCCAAAACACAGCCAAGAAAACTCTTAAATGCTTTCAGAGAGAGAAAATTAAGCTGTAGAATGGCTCAGCCAATCACATCACTAGAATCCAATAGAAAATACAAAACAAAGATCCGATTTGACAGACGAGACCCACAGAACCATCAGATTTTTACACTTTCTTGAGGTCTGAGATAAAAAATCACAGCTTAGCAATTTTTGTGACTTCATTCTTCATTTGAGAGTCATCTTTAAGCTGCTGTTATCAAAAAAGTCTTTTACAGAAAGAATTAAAAACATTTCAGTGCTTCAGTGCTTTCTTCTTGTCATATTGTTTGAATTTTTGCCAAAATTTGCTTCATTTCCATGTCAATAGCTCCTTTAGAAATATTATTCACAGGAAAAACCTTTACATGTTCAACTTTTTTTCCCCACTGCAGGAAACAGAGCATCAGATATATCCCAACCAATCAGAGGAGGTCTCTGTCACCGAGACAGACATGCCTTCTGTTGATGTCCTGCAAAATGTCAGTCACCTGGACGGTTCAAGTGCCAGTCCTGTCCCAGAAGTCCAACCCACATCTGAAGTACCTTCCAAAGAGCCTCTAACAGAAACCCACTCAACACAACCCAGCCTGTCATTGCCAGTTACTAAAGTCCAGCCCTTTGTCACAGGTACAAATCTCACTTCATCAGAATGTCATGTTGTCTACTATTTTAGATTTATACGACACAAGGTTATTATAGATTTAAATGTTTTTATTTTGAGACTGTTGTTAAATGTGCTGCACATTTTAGTTGTTTAGTTAGTTTTAATGGTGGTTTGGAGAGGGGTCTGGCTGCAGACTCGGTGCAGTGCAATCTGAGCTGCATCCAATGCTTTTTAATCCGCTCACCTAACCCCAACCCTAACCCTACCCGTCACAGTGACGTCACTCACTTCATTGAGTGCATTGTGTTTGACATTGCATCGCTGAGTGATGCAATCTCAGCTTGCATCATAAAGGCTGCATCTATCATTCATTTAGTTTAGTTTAGTTTTCTAACAAACCCTTTATTTCATTTTAATATATTAAGTTTCAGTTTAAATAATTGTATTTTTTACAGATTTAATGGAACATGTTCAGTGTGACCAAAGCAAAGTTTATTGTTTGCACGGCTTACATTAACTTTTGTTTCAATCTATTTGTAATCAAAGTAAAATAATGATTTGAAAAGAGACTGAATTATATTAAAAATCATGTATATCGTTAAGCATGTATAGTTTACGTGCCTGTACATTTTTAGTTAGCCCTTTAATTTTTTATTTTTTGTGATTTTTTTTTACATTTTATTTTAGTTAACAACAAAGTTTATGGTTGACTTTCGTTTACAAAAATAGCCTTGATACAAAGTTAAAAACACACATTCATAACTGCTGGATTTCACATGATCATCCAGAAACACAATGAGCTAACTCATCCAGTAGCTTTCATTTCAGTCATGCAATACATAAATCTCAACAGTTGAGGATCTTCCATGGCATTTGTCACTAATTAGCTACACAATTAGACACTGTTTCTGAGGTCAACTAGTATCACATGATGGCAACATCAAAACTTTGTGTCAAGACTGTGGGGAAAATACCAGTAAACACAATGTGATTGAAGTGTCTGCTAAGTTCAGAAATATGAATGAATCTCTTTTTTCATTGATTATTGTTTCATGTGTCTGTTCTCTCAGAGGAAAAAACCCTCCGCAGCAGCTTGTTTGCACGCAGGATGGAGATACTAATCATCACTTGTGTCCTTCTCACTCTCATTATAGTGCTTGGCATTGGACTGGGTGGTGAGTTTTCAACATCCACTGAGTGTACAGAATATCATAAAGTCAATACAGAGATTAATCAATACACATATCATCTGCAGCTGGTGACCATGATTGTTTCAAAAATGAATCCAAAAATATGAGATAAATAATGCAAAGTCTTGAGAAGCATTAAAAAAAGAGCTTATGGTTTCAATGGTTTGCATGTTCTCCCCTGACTCACTGCTCTTCTCACTGTTCAAACATTTGCATAAACCGCATTGCTTTCTGATGGTCACATGACCTTCAAGCGTTTTTAATGGTAAATAATTTAAACATAACATTATTCATACAACGACTTATTGTTTTTCCCCTTTCCAATATATATACTATGCATAAAAACTTTACAAATATACTTTATAAATACAATATAAATAAAACTGATTTTAATACGCATTTCAGCAAACAAACACCCTTAATGTGTTTATTCCTTTATTAAGATGTCCATGGTGATGTTTATATTAAACATCTCATTAAGGGAAACTCCTAAGTTAAATAAGTTATATCTCTGAACTTTAATAATAAATCTAAATAAAATTCTGCGCTTCCCATCTCCAGTCGCAATGACTTCTGGGACTTCTAGCGCAAGTTCGGTGCTTAAGAGCCTACTCACACTATGCCATCCGTACCGTGCCCAAGGCCGTTTGCCGGATCATTTGAGAACTGTGAGTGCGCTGAATCGGGCTCAAGCGCGGTTCACTTGGCCGGCCCTGGCCCGGTTGGAAGAGGTGTGCCTGAGCCCAGTTCACTTGTGTGTGAGTGCAAAACGCGCCAAAGCCTGAAACTGAAAGCGAGACGTGACTTTTAAGGGACTGTTTCATATGGATTTATTAATAACTCTTACTGTTCAGTGAACGCAAACTGCCATAGTTTATTAAAGACGCAAACTCTTCACTGCACGACAGCTGCGCGCCTTCAGCAGACCTCCTTATTCCTGCAGCACGAGGGCTTTATGATTGTTTATGAGCGCCAAAAGTGGCGGATCTGTTCGGCGAAATATCTGAATATCTGACTGCATGTCCCCGCATCCCTAAGGACTGTTTGGCGAAATATTTGACGGCATATCAAACGACTGAAACGATATAACTAGAGAAATCTCTACTGTGCTGCTGAGTGAGAGAGTGCTTCTCACTGAGCCAGCGCAGCAGCGATGATGTAAGCGTGCCGAAGCCCATTTGTGGTGTGAGCGCGGGCCGTCGGGGGAGACGGGAGGGGGGACAAGCGTGCTTTGGCCTGGTTCGAGGCAACTGTACCTAGTGTGAGTACGGCCTAAGTCTGCATCGGTGCGTCCTCGATATCAAGAACGCACCTGGGAAGTTTCATGCATCCTCTGTTCTTGCTGTCTTGAGTATTGAAACTGAACTTTGGCAGCTGATGATGATGTTACACGAGAACACGAGGACTCAAGACCACTGAAGAACGCAAATTGAGAAACAGCCATATTGAAGAAAATTCAAAAAGACTCTCAAACAGAGCCAGGAACTAACGACTGTTGCTTTTGAAAAAAATGTAACATTCCCAACAGCTACACCACAGGGTAATGCAATGGATCCAAACCACAAATGCCTCTGATCACCCCCGGAATTACCCACACTCTCAAGCTTATACAAAAGTTGTGGCAAGATTGTCCCCTTTCAAATTTCTCAAAGGAACTCTATTCCAGTCTGCTTAAACCACTGCCAATTCCTGAATCAATCTTACCTCCTAAATAGTATAAATAATTATAGCAATGTGTTTTCTCTTAAACCCTTTTACAAAGCTTGATTGTGGACACACTATGGTCTCTGTCAGAGATGTATTCATTGAAATATCGTAGAGCATAATATTATAATGTTGTATTTAACAACATAAATTTGTTAACGGTATTTCAAGAGTTCACACTTAGCTGATGATCTATCAAAAGCTTGTTTGGCATGGTGTCGTGGGAGAGAGCCCTGATCCTCAAGGGATCCTAGAGCTCAGGGATTCCTCCCAGGCCTGGATTGGCTAATCGGGAGGATCAGAAGAATTCCTGGTGGGCTGGTCCGTTTCTGTTTTTTTGTTGGTTTTCAACTATCAATTGACTTCTTAACCTTCTTACTTTAGTCTGACGCTATCCTGGCCTTCGCTGATCATTTAATATATTTCACCTGTTGTCTTCCTGCTGTATGGGCTACCCGATGACATTGTATCTGATCTAAGTGCTCAGTTCACTTGTCATGTATGGAAGGCATTTTGATAGAACTGAGATATCAATGTGAGCTTAACATCTAAATATCAACCTCAGTTAAATAGTCAAGTTGAACATCTGAATTAGGAAATCGGCAGCCGTGAGCATAAACGGTGTTCCTTTCTTCCAACCTGGAAAATCCAACAATGGCTTTGTAAAGTACTGGCCTGAATCCCAAACATCTACAAAGCAGGAAGCTTAGCCCTAGTTATGTTGATCCTATTAAAATCAAATTAATCTAAATCAATATTGAGGATTTTTCAGCAACACAAACCCGGTGTATGTCCCTGGTGAATGCTAAGAGGTCCTTCTGGGGGAAGGGGGACATCTAATTATGATGTTTTGCCAGTTTCAGTATTACTAAGATTTTTTTAATTGTTATTGTTATGTGTTGTCTGCAACTTGCATAACATTTGCCTGTTTGCCTGGTTGGACTGCTTGTTAAGATTATTGACCTTGTCCCTGTTTTACAGACTTAAATTCTGGATTGTGATGTTGATTTGTTGAACTGTTTCAGTATTCAAAAGTAATGCTCCAATAATATTTCTAAAATTATTAAACATTTCCTTATTATTGAAACCCAGAAAGTAAACTGGACATTTGAATAATTACATTAAGTGGCACCTATGGTGAAAAATCTACTTTTCAAGCTGTTTGGACAGACATGTGTGTAGGTATAGTGTATAGACCGTCATATTGGGGTGATATTAACACATTCTTTTTTCAATTTAACAACAATAAAACGTGGACCAATAAGAGCAGTTTTTAGATCGACCACAACTTTGACCTAGCATTGCGGTTCCCCCGCCCACCAATATTGATTGACAGGTGTGCATCACCATATCTTCAGTTTGTTGTATCACGTCCGCCATTTTCAGCGTGTGAGTCAAAGCGATGTCACCAAAGGAACACCCTTGCTCTATTTTCAGATGCTAGGCTCATTGAGCTCAACACAAGATCAACATTCATCACATGATCACTCTCATCAGAATTATTGTTTGTAACTTTAGGCGGGTTTGCAAACGTGTACTTTTCATTGCGTCTACCTTAAACTTTAGCCGTTAGCATTTCTTGTGGTCACAGAAGCTCACTGTGATCCTAGCTAGGTGCAGCTGCAAAGTGCGAGCGCATTGCCTCACGTGCGCGTTCCTTTATTGAAAATAAAATAAACTTGCCTGCAGGTCGCACACCAGAAGCACTGCTTGGCGACACACAGCATCGCGCCACGCAGTACCATGCATTTTAGAATTCATAACATAGGTATCTATCAGGATACACACAACGGCGCTTCAAGTCGGCGGCTGTCCGCAGTGCCCAGCCACGACACAGGATACTTCATATTTCTGCCGCTCCACAGAGTGCCATCTGAATAGTTTCATTTTAAATAACATTGGAATGTGCGTGTCTGGTGTGCCGTGTCGCAGCTCTGAGCAGCGCATCCGGTGCCTCAGTCAAAGTTAATTCAGTGTGCGTGGTCTCGGTGTACAAACTCGGAACTTTAAACTAGCACACAGTTGGCTGTAAATCTATACAAAGACAAGAATGATTTTGTACTCTCTGCTTGGTCTGTCCGAGTCGTACATGTACAGCTGAATGCCAGTCCTCTCACTCATGATGCTTCTCTCTGTCTGCCTGTTTGTTGCCAAACACAAATCAGGGGAGCTCTTGGCTCCGCCCCCTTATTATGTTGGGCGAGAAGTCAAAACTAATTTTCATGTGAAGCAACACACCCCTAAAACAGCGACCAAAATAACACTTTCACATAATAAAAAAATCTAATGTGTGTTTTGAACTGAACCTAAACTGGCACACTCAGAAGAATCATATTAATATTACATCTTAAAAAGGGGGTAAACCATGTGCCCTTTAAGGTTATCCACAAAATTAATTTCTGTTCCGCACAAGACATGAGGATGAGGAACTGAAAATAACATTTGGAAAATGTAACATTTTTGGCCCAACAATCCCTTTAACTCTTAATTTCCTGAAACAAACTCCAGGACCCCTCTATTAATAATAATTTGTTAGTTTTAATATGAGCCACTTGAATCATTTAGAATTTTACTTGTATTACTTTACTTTATAATTACATTAATATTTTCCTAAGTAAAGCTATTTTAATTTAGCTTGTTCATTTTTACAAAGGTAACCTCCATTATGAGAAAAAGATTTCTACAATACTAAACACACCTTACCAAAGATGAACCAACCGAACTGCATGAATTATTAACAGATTAGATGTATTAGATTGCACAAGCCAGCATCTGAAAACCTTCATAAGATCTCTCCAACTCAAGTTGCAGAGGTCTAACCCTGGCCACAGCCCTGCATGTGGGCCTACCAAAGAGTCTTTAAGTGTAGATGATGGGTTGTTATTAAATAATTAAGATGTACTTTTACGAGCTACAGAGCAATAAAATGATGAAAGGAATAATTTTTCAATGAACAGTAATTGCATATAATTCCCAATTATCCCACATTTACTAAGCTCCAATTATCGACATATTTGTATTTTAGTTGGACTGAGCTGTGCTGGGAAGTTTCGATGTTTCTCCTCCAGGTGTATTAGCATCTTAGCACAGTGCGATGGGCATTTTGACTGTGAACATGGAGAAGATGAGCTCAGTTGTGGTAAGCACAAAGTACATTTTCATTAGCCATGATCACTTGGTATATGGCTGATCATGTGTCTGTGTGTGTGCAGTGCGTCTGAGTGGAAAGAGCTCTGTACTTCAGGTGCTTAATGATGGAGTCTGGAGGACGGTTTGTGCTGAGAACTGGAACTCCAATCTTTCACTCTCGGCTTGTAAGCAGCTTGGCTATTCCAGGTAATGAAACAGATTTTCAGTAAAATACCTTAGTTTCCACACCCTCTGCATGTGTCAAATCACATATTTTCCTGCAGATTTAACACACCAGAAAGTGATTTAATAGCTTTTTTCCATGTTGAGGCAAGTTGGAGGTAGTTAGTCAGAACACTCCTTCCTAAAAATCATGTGAAATAGTGCAAACCTAATCTTTTTAAGGCGTGGATTTAGGAGGTAAAATTATGTATTGTGCTGACTTGCTATGTGGCACTTGAATAGGAAGTACCACCTATAGAAATTCTCAGCTTTTTTTAAAGACTAGCTATCATTCATTCATTCATTCATTTTCTTTTCGGCTGTGTCCCTTTATTAATCCGGGGTCACCACAGCAGAATGAACCGTAAACTTATCCAGCACATGTTTTCACGCAGTGTGTGCCCTTCCAGCTGCAACCCATTTTTGGGAAACATTCATACACACTCATTCAAACTCATACACTACAGACAATTTAGCCTACCCAATTCACCTGTACTGCATGTCTTTAGACTGTGCGAGAAACCGGAGCACTCGGAGGAAACCCACACAAAAGCAGCGAGAACATGCAAACTCTACACAGAAATTCCAACTGACCCAGCCGAAGTTCGAACCAGCGACCTTCTTGCTGTGAGGCGACAGCACTACCTACTGCGCCACTGTGCCCCCAAGTCAAGCTATCTTGTCTCCAATTTTTGTATTCACAAAATATTTTTATCTTACCTCCTAAATAGTATAAATAATTATAGCAATGTGTTTTCTCTTAAACCCTTTTACAAAGCTTGATTGTGGACACACTATGGTCTCTGTCAGAGATGTATTCATTGAAATATCGTAGAGCATAATATTATAATGTTGTATTTAACAACTTAAATTTGTTAACGGTATTTCAAGAGTTCACACTTAGCTGATGATCTATCAAAAGCTTGTTTGGCATGGTGTCGTGGGAGAGAGCCCTGATCCTCAAGGGATCCAGAGCTCAGGGATTCCTCCCAGGCCTGGATTGGCTAATCGGAAGGATCAGAAGAATTCCTGGTGGGCTGGTCCGTTTCTGTTTTTCTATCCAAGACTAAAAAGGGCATGTGCACTGCACAGGTTGAGCCCTATGTGTGCACATGCCTGATGTTGAGGATGGAGGGTTTCTTCCAAGCGAAGATAAAGTGGACTGAAGACTGGTTATTTATTGTAGCTTAGGACTCGTATGTTTGGCCGATCATGATTAGTTTTTATGAGACCGGCTGTGATAAATCATAAGCATGAGATCCTATCGAAATTAGTTGATAAATAAACTTCACTTAAAAACATTGTACATGCAAATAAAGATTTTAAAATTTAATGTCATTAATCCGGGGCGACATGGTGGCTTAGTGGTTAGCACTGTCGCCTCACAGTAAGAAGTTCTAGTCCTGACTGGGCCAGTTGGCATTTCTGTGTGGAGTTTGCATGTTCTCCCCATGTTGGCGTGGGTTTCCTCTGGGTGCTTTGGTTTTCCCCACTGTCCAAAGACATGCGCTATTCTGTGGGTGAATTCAATAAACTAAATTGGTCGTAGTGTATGTGTTTGCATGTGAGAGTGTATGGATATTTCCCAGTACTGGGTTACAGCTGGAAGGGCATCCGTTGTGTAAAACATGTGCTGGATAAGTTGGCGGTTGATTCCACTGTTGCAACCCCTGATGAATAAAGGGACTAAGCCAAAGAAAAATAACTGAATGAATGAATGAATGAATGAATGAATGAATGAATGAATGAATTTCATTAATTAAATAAGCGCATGTTCGTCTATCTATTGTAAGCCTCTAAGCCGAAATGTAAATAAACAGCATATTAATACCATACAGACTTCTTCAGGCTGATATGATGTAGTCTGAACCCAGCTTTATGCACATTAAAATAAGTTTCAAAGTCTCCCAGTCCTTTTTATAATTATCAAGTGTTCCTGTTCTTAATTAGTCAGTTCAGATATTTGATCTTCACAATTCAAAATACAGGGATATTTTCACAGAATAAATGGTTAAAAGGTTAGTTTACCCAAAAAAAGAACATTGTGTTCTTAATTACTCACCCTCGAATTACTCACATCGATACCTTAAAGACAAATAAGAGATATTTCGGATGATTATCTTTAAACAGCATAGTCCTGACTTGAAAATGTACAGGAAAATATCCTAATATCAAACCATATGCCTTCAGTAGTTCAATATGAACAAGAACGCTATATTATATAGAGGAGAAGAAACTTTTGAATAAAGTCATTGTTTTTGTTTTATGCATGCACAAAAGTACATTCTTGAAGCTTCATATTGAACCACTGAAGACACAAACGGCCTGTTTTCACCTGGTCACTTCTTGTGATTTTTTTCTGAATGGATAGCTATTTAATTTTTGAAAACAGATCCATTTACATTTGACTATATGATTGTGTGTCCCCTAAACAGATATGATTCCAATCCTTAAATCCTATGATATCTTTAAATTTAAATCGGTTATGTTGAATAAAACATCAATGACATTGAACTTTATTAAATTAATATTATTCACAGGAATGTAATCTAACATAAGCTGTTTTTGTCATACAGATATGTGCAAGACATGATTCATAACTGTAAATGCATTCATTATTCATTTTTAACAAAATCATGTTTTGTTTTATGCATATTGAGGACATCTGAAAACAATGTATGGTTTTAACCACATCCCGAAGTAGTCTGAGTGCTTATATCCATCTTGAATGCGTTTTGTAGGGCATTTAAACATACCCATATCATGATAGCTATCCTATCAGAAAAAAACACATGTAGTGACCAAGTGTAAACAGCCCTATAGACTATTTTAACAATGTTTTTGGAACATTTTTGCTAGAACGAGTCAGGATCATTGTTGTCTATAAAAGCTCAGGGAGCACCCAAATTATCTTAATTTGTATCCTGAAGATCACTGAAAGTCTTTGATTTGGAATAATTTGAGGGAGAGTCATTTTTATCCCTTTAACTATCCCTTTAAAGGTGCAATATGTTTAAATATATTTATATACATTTAGACCACTTAAAGGTGTAGGAGGGATAAATGACCAAAGATGTATTGTAGTAATGTTTTTCCTGGTCATCTGCATCAAGAGGTTTTGATGGACTGTATTTTGCAGGTAGTTTGCTGTGAGACATAGGACTATAAGGCTAAACCTTTAACTTGCCATAACAAACTTTTATTTCCACAAGTGATTAACTCAAACCTTTCGATTACATGGTTACTGGTAAAAAAGGCTTCAGTGAACTCTTACACGATAACTATTACACTACATATAACAGCCAACAGCAAAGAAGCTCAGATTCAACATTTCAGTTACATCAAAGGTTTCAAATTCAGTTCCTTGAGGCCACAGGCTTGACAAACGTAGGCTTTGTCACACAGATCCACTGAGAACTTTAAGAAGACTTTTCACCCATTGTAACTCTCCATTCCACAACTCACAGCATAACAACATTCCAAATGTGTATAGGCCACTCAGGCAGTAAGGGGGAAAGGAATAATACAACTTTCAACCAAACTGCTTAATGGACAATAATAGATCTATGGAAAACATTATACATACCTTGGATATATAAGCATAAATTTTACAGACTATATTCAGCAATGTGAAAACGTACTCAACTGAATTTCATAGTTTTACATATCTGGACATAATTTAAAAAATATATATATGGTCCTTGGCCGGCCCTTATATTTGGAAGATACAGCCATACATCACATCTCAACACGTTAATGCCAGATGGAAACAGGTCCATGAATGCTTTATGCTATATTGCATGCTACCACTGTGCTATTGCTAATGCTATAACATCATGTTTTAAAGCTACTTTACTTTTCTCCATCTCTTTAAGGTTTGTGGAGTCAAAAGCTCTTCCTCTGTCCTTTATTGAGCAGGATTACCAGAATAACCTGATATCAATAGGACTGAACCAAACAAGTTTTCAGCAACCAGTCAAGATACACAACATAACTAATTCCAGGTACAAATCAATCTCTTTGTAATGGCTGCCTGCTGGGGAAATAAGCAAGAGAAACCATCACATAAGTTGTTACAAATGATTGCAATGGAAATTCTTTTAGTGTCAAAGAAAACTGTATTATTTTCTTTCTTTCTTTCTTTCTTTCTTTCTTTCTTTCTTTCTTTCTTTCTTTCTTTCTTTCTTTCTTTCTTTCTTTTTCGGCTTACAATTGGTGGCATATTAAAACAAATAAATCCAAATTAAATGTGTACCAAAACACACTAAAACTATTAAACTGCCATACCAATCATATTGATAATATATAGAACATACCTACTCAGTTCATGATTTTAAATGGCTCTCTTCTAGTTTTAATTATAATCTATTACCACTTCTCTCTTGGTTTCCTCATGTTTGAAAGCTGTGTATGAATTGCTAACATCATATCACAATGTGCCAATTGTGGAAAACCAGGGAAAAAAATAACTTACTAGTCTGTGGGTGCATTCTATTCCACCTTTAGACATCCACTGACAAACTTTCCTTTCTTTGTTCCCTCACCTGAGCCTCCACAGCCATTTTAAAGTGTGTTCCACTTCACCAAGTGAACAATAGAAGCTTACATGGACATACTCTTGATCCCTCGATTTTGATCGAGAGAGAGAGTCAGCTTCATATGTCCACTCCTATGTCCCAGAATGCAACGGGATTGTAATGTCACAACAGTGCTCAAGGGTTTCGAGATTCCACATAAACCCATTCATATGTTCCGCCAGTAGTGGACACTTCAGTAACTTGTACTTTTTCTGAATGTATCAAACAAAACTCCAACACATGCACAGAAGACAGCATGAGCATTTATAGCAAATAAACTAATGTGAAAATTATCTCGCTTGCTTTTTGAGCACTGACAGGCAAGGTCTTACATCCCTATGATTGGTCATTGTCTCAACCTGCTCAACAAAAAGGGCTGCTATTGGCTTTAGAAATGAAAGCGCTGTTCACCGATGGTGACTTAAACCCATTCATATGTTCTACCAGTAGTGGACACTTTAGTAACTTAATCAATGATGCACCTCTGAGGGAACAAGAATGAGCAAAGTAAGCTAGGGAAGGGCAGTTTGAATTAATTTGTTTTTTGTTTTTTTTTGGCCATGTGCTCTCTTTGTCCTGTCTCCTCGTTAGTCCAGGTTTGTCTACAGTTTTTCACCTGTACCTTGTTCTTTTTCTAGCTTGTGTCCTGTTCTAGTTTTGTTTCTGTGTTTAGACTAGTTCTATCCTAAAACTAGTTTTAGGGCTCTATTTTGATGATCTAGGCGTAAAGTCCAAAGTGCAGGGCGCAAAAGAAGGCGTGTCGGAATCCACTTTTTTGCTATTTTAAAAATTTGAAAATCCATTTTGCACCGCGGGGCAAAGTATAACAGGGTTGAGCTTATTCTCTTAATGAATTATAGGTGTGTTTTAGGAATAAACCAATCAGTCTCATCTCCCATTTCCTTTAAGAGTTGTTGTGTTGCGCCATAGCGCATTTGCTATTTACATAGCAGACTTTGTAAGTGGAAAAACTGAGCGATTTACTAGCGAGTTAAACAGACCATCTGCAGCGCGAGAAAGAGAGAATGAGCTTCCTCATTCTTTACTTTGACTCTCTTTCGTTGATAAAGAAACGTGTTGTATGCACGGACATCCATTAGCCTACATAATTAATTTAATTTTTTAAGAGAAAAGATTTGTTTCGAAACTATTTCTTAATTTCTAAATAGGATATTTGCGTATTGCTGTACATCCTGTGTGTATTAAGCAATGTTTAAGTGAGGCGCACAACTAACGCGCTCTGCGCTGGACTTTAGACCTGCTCTCAGCTGGTCTATTGTGCAGTCTATTCCAAAAAATACCCATGCGCTAACAATGCATCTTAACACACATCTTTTTTGTTTAGACCACAACACCTATGGGTGCACATATGAGCGCAAATGCATTTGCTATTTAAACAGTGTGGTGCAAAACGTCAAAACGTCACTTGCATTGAGCTGAAACTAGGAAACAAGAATTGCGCCTTGTGCCGCATTGTGCCAGGTGTATGATAGGGCCCTTAGTCTTAGTTCTTTAGTCTTAGATCTTTTTCTAGTTGCTTAACCTTTTTTTATTTAATCCTTTTTTATTTTTTTAGCTACAGCAAGGTTGTAGTCTTTTGTTTTGCCATTTTGTGTATATTAGCACCAGTTAACTGTTTCTAGGATTTTTTCGTTTTTGTTTTTTTTCTCTCTAGACTTTGTTTAGCAGGTTTTTGCTTTCATACTGTTTTTCTTGTTTCTACTGTTGTCTTGTTTTTATATATATGTGTTGGTTCTTGTCTTGCTTTCTAAGCAGGTTTCTTTAATCCTTTACTTTTAGTTTCTGGTGATTTCAGTGTTACCACAAGCCTTGAGTGACCTCATCCCTGAACTGCCTGTTCTCCTGTTTCTGTCTAACCTTATTGTGCGGACTTTTCTCCTGTTTTGTTTTTACCTGTAGTAAATTTACTTTTTCTACAGGCCATTCTGCATTTGGTTCCACCTTTGCTTTTAACCTGACACTCCTGGGGCCCATACCATGATATTGGATAAACTGGCTAGCTAGTTAACTTTTAGCTTTACTTAGTTTTACAATCTTGGGTTTTAGATAACAAGAAGGCAGCTCGACTTTATTCATTCTTTGTTGCAGTGTTATTATGGGCCAGGAGGGTATTCCAGAAAGCTGGGTTGACTTAACATCTGCTAAACACTGAATCTTGATCGATAAAAGCAAAACCTGCTTACTGTACACCAAAACACCTTAGAAGAGTTATTTTAATAAACCTCCTAAAGAAAATATCTAAATACCTAAAGCCATTTTCAGTGGATTGCAGAATTCACAAGTGACATTTGAAAGTCACAGCGAGAAAAAAGCACAGCATTTTTTACAGAGACAGAGTTTATCCTTGCTAAGCAGAGTGTGAACACTCCGTGGCTAAATGATGCATATGGGTTCATCACTAGGGATTTTGCATAACTGGCATCGATTCCCAGCATGCGTGTAGACCAAGCCGGACATAGCACTGGGCCAGGCATATGGCTCCTTTGCCAAGTCGGGTGCGGAGGGCCTCTGAGGAACTCTCTAGGGTTCACCAGGGGGGGAACTCGCTAAGCAGAGCAAAAAAAAGTGCATGTATCTCCGGGTTAGGGAAAGTGGTACGGCAAGCATTTTGACACCGAGCTATAGCATCCTCCTGATTGACTGGTGTTACTAGGAGGAAACCGACTTTACTTGAAGATTATAAAATCTCGCAAATGTATTAGGTGTCACCCAGCCTGCAGCTCTACAGATGTCTGTTAAAGAGGCGCCGCATGCTAACCCCCAAGAGAAGGCAATACACCTTGTCGAGTGTGCTCTTATTCCCGGAGAACAAGGCTCGGCCTGGCACTGATAAGCGAGAGTGATGGCATCAACTGTCCAGTGGGCAAACCTCTGTTTAGATGCGGCACATCCCTTCTGCCAAACCCCATAACAGACAAAGAGCTGCTCAGAAGATCTTATGTGCGGTCCACAAGATCTTATCTTAACATTGTGGTCCACATACAGTAAAAGCACAGAGTATGAAAGTGACATAGCATAAAGAGGGCTGGATCTGCCCCTTTTGTCTACCCAGAAGAGAGCTGTTCTCGGAGTGTTCATAAAGGATCTCCCGCTGGATCTAATCTCACTATATTTGATAAATGTGATATTTAATTCGTCTAACAACATATTCTCTGACTTTGGTCACTTGAATCTATTACTTGTTCTCGGGTAATGTGTTTTGGCTAAGCGCAAAGACAAGTTAATAATTAATGGAACCACGTACATTCTGTATATTGACTGATTGTTTGCCTTTATTTCCTTTAATGTATAAACTTATTGTACGTCATAGTGTTATGGCCATTATTGATTATTAAAACTGATATTCAGCAAAAGAGAGGGTATGTTTCATATTTTCACTGAAAATTAAAGGAGGCAGTAATGTTATAGACTCTGTTTTGTTATGAATACTCCTACAGTGAAGATTATCAGCTGTGAGCTAGTGGATCCGTGCCAAGAAGGGCCTCGGATTGTGAATAAAACAGCTGCCAATGGGTGTTTTCATGAGAAGAAAACAGGTCAACCTGGGCTTACTTGAAGCGCTCCCATATCAGCTGGACCGCACTGGGGTGGAGTCTCCATTCTCCCAGGAACAAAAGCTACCATTGCCGTGCTGTTGTCCCTCCAGCACTGGTTAAAACACTGTCAACAGCTTCAGACAATTGATATGCCAATGCAGTTGGGATCTAGTCTACAAACCTGCAGCTACATGCTCTTTGCAATTAACCCCCCAGCCCGTACTGGAAACATCTGTGATGGCAACATGCTTGGTCAATTGTTCTAAGGACAATCCAGCTTGTAGAAAAGCAAGGTCTGTCCAAGGACTGAGCGTGCAGCAACACAGAAGAGTGATGGTCACCCGGTGCGCACCCGTATGCCATGCCCATCTGGAGACTCGTTCATGAAGCCAGTGTTGAATTGGTCTCATATGAAGCCATTCAAGCGGCGATGTGGATGCCATATGTCCCAGGAGCCTCTGAAATTGTTTCAGTAATACCACTGTTTTCCCATCGATCTGTTTCAAACAGATTAGCATCATCTCGGCACCTTACCAAAGAGTCATGGAGATTGAGTCCAGCTCAATAGAGCCCGCTATTCATCTCAGCTGGAGGGACCAACTTGATTGCATCCTTTGCCCGGAGGACAGCAATCTCCTCAAGAACGACAGGGGCGGACACAAAATAGACCTTTCTGAAATACACGCCCATTTGGTGAACTGAATCACATAGCTCCATAGTCTAATTGCTTGAATGAGCTACTTTGACAGGCCAAGCTGTGTAAATCAGGCTGGCAGGGCCCACATGATGGGAATGGAAATGCTCAACTGGGGAAGTGGCATGTCCAGGGGAAGAGCTGAACATAAGAAAGGGTCTCTAACCACCCTCCCT